AATAAGACAGTACTTAAATCGTACCACTTGTAGATTGCGCCCTGACTCTGTGAATTGCTGGAGTGGTTACAGCTTTGTTGGCGATCACCGAAACAGCAGGTGTTGAACTCTGAGGAAAGGTTCCTTGTCTGGGAATCATTGTGACCTCTGAAAATAAGAATCTGATACAGTAAAAGTGAACTTTTGGATTTCCTGTGCTGTAGCAGAGGTGGTCCGAACAGCGCTACCCAAGAGTATTGGTAACGATGCTCAGGGGAGCAAACAGATACGATTTTTTGCGGTGAACGCTGCACCTGTAGTAGCGCAGTAAGGCTCCAAATCTAAAAGCGACCCGCCCCCTCTGGAAGCGCACTCCTTCCCCCTTCCCCGAATTGGGCCTCTGAAATCGTTACAATTAGCGTCCGATTTTTATTTCAGAAGGACATTCCGCGTTAAACGGCCGCATCTTGAAAATTTGTCGTCAACGAGGCACCTAGGGCGCACTTCTTTCCATGCGTTCCCTTGTTCCCGCCCGACCTACCCTCGACCGTCCATGGAGTGCGATTTTCTGTAATCATGTTTCTCGTTGCGAATTGCCAAATCTCCGAGGACAATGGACTGCTCGATCAAGAACACGCTGACCTCACAAAACATGAAGGAGCTAGAAATTGCTCTGAAATAAAAGGTGTTACTCTGAACTCACCATGTTGAACAGGATCGGTTGTTTTATGAGTTCTCATCACAGTTGAGCGAACACACCGTGCCATATGAGCATTCCCAGACATATTTAACGCTGTCTGTAACGCGTTTAGAGCAGTAATGTTCCGGCTAGGTGAGTACAGCACTAACCATCAACCAATATTTGTTACCAAGAAGACTTTTATCACGTCGACATATCAATTTTGTGGGATATTCGTAGCAAAGCGGCTCCTGAAGTGGATGTATCTCAGGGGCAGATGGATTCTACTTAAGGCATTCTCCCTCAAAAAACGAGAAGAGCGTCGGGTGCAGACCATACACCACAAGTGACGACGGCCTCCACAAAATGTAAATGTTTTCTGCCAATGAAATGATTAGCCTGTTGCAGTTGTATTCTATCAGTTGTCACTAATTACAACTATCATTTACCAAAATCAGCTATCACTATGAACCACTACTAACCAGATTTACTTGGAGGCCGTCGTCACTTGTGGTGTATGGTCTGCACCCGACGCTCTTCTCGCTTTTTGAGCAGGAGGGTACATGTTCTGTAAAAAGTAATGCAGATATTATGTAGTAAAGTAAATACTATACCAACATAAAAAGATCCTCACAATCTGTGGAGGCAATAACGAGACCGCTCTCCCTTCGCCACGACCCTGCTTGATTCTTTTAACCACGCAGATTACTACAATAAGACAGTACTTAAATCGTACCACTTGTAGATTGCGCCCTGACTCTGTGAATTGCTGGAGTGGTTACAGCTTTGTTGGCGATCACCGAAACAGCAGGTGTTGAACTCTGAGGAAAGGTTCCTTGTCTGGGAATCATTGTGACCTCTGAAAATAAGAATCTGATACAGTAAAAGTGAACTTTTGGATTTCCTGTGCTGTAGCAGAGGTGGTCCGAACAGCGCTACCCAAGAGTATTGGTAACGATGCTCAGGGGAGCAAACAGATACGATTTTTTGCGGTGAACGCTGCACCTGTAGTAGCGCAGTAAGGCTCCAAATCTAAAAGCGATCCGCCCCCTCTGGAAGCGCACTCCTTCCCCCCTTCCCCGAATTGGGCCTCTGAAATCGTTACAATTAGCGTCCGATTTTTATTTCAGAAGGACATTCCGCGTTAAACGGCCGCAAATTTGTCGTCACTTGCATTCCATCAGAGCAAACCCACTATTACGGCGAGGATCTAAGCCGTAAACTCGTCCAAAGTTAACGAACAGGGGGATGGTCCCAATTCTAGGGTTTTCGACGGTTTATTCGGGCTTCTTCTCCACCATTCGGCACCTCTGCTTTCATATCTGACCACTATTGAATTATCACAATCGCTGCCTTTTAAGGAATCGTCCACGGGAAGACCATGATTCTATCACACCCATAAATCAGTGGCTTGAGACCAGTCTCCACAAAAAGAAGGGAAAGAGCAAAAAATTCTGTTTGTTTTCGTAAACAATTCGAAAAACTGACTCCCGCTGTACATACATCCGTCACAAATATTGGCGATGGGAACGATTCCACCTGCTCCTCGAAGTTTCTTCGGAGGGGACCCTTTTGGCCTTTTCAGCATATGCTACATTTTTGCTTTCATATCCTACTTTCTCTATTCTCCAAATTTGAACGCCTTAGGTCGACTCTTTCGATGCGTCGCCTGATACGAGGCACCAGGGCGCACTTCTTTCCATGCGTTCCCTTGTTCCCGCCCGACCTACCCTCGACCGTCCATGGAGTGCGATTTTCTGTAATCATGTTTCTCGTTGCGAATTGCCAAATCTCCGAGGACAATGGACTGCTCGATCAAGAACACGCTGACCTCACAAAACATGAAGGAGCTAGAAATTGCTCTGAAATAAAAGGTGTTACTCTGAACTCACCATGTTGAACAGGATCGGTTGTTTTATGAGTTCTCATCACAGTTGAGCGAACACACCGTGCCATATGAGCATTCCCAGACATATTTAACGCTGTCTGTAACGCGTTTAGAGCAGTAATGTTCCGGCTAGGTGAGTACAGCACTAACCATCAACCAATATTTGTTACCAAGAAGACTTTTATCACGTCGACATATCAATTTTGTGGGATATTCGTAGCAAAGCGGCTCCTGAAGTGGATGTATCTCAGGGGCAGATGGATTCTACTTAAGGCTTCTCTTTCAAAAAACGAGAAGAGCGTCGGGTGCAGACCATACACCACAAGTGACGACGGCCTCCACAAAATGTAAATGTTTTCTGCCAATGAAATGATTAGCCTGTTGCAGTTGTATTCTATCAGTTGTCACTAATTACAACTATCACTAGTATAACTTTATAATCCTATGCTATACGCTACGAAAACGCACCTACTAACATCAGATATGTATCGGTATGAGGCGACGTAGTCATTTGTAGGTGTATGTTCTGAAACCGAGCTTTTCGTCGCTTATTGAGGCAGGAGGTACAGTGTTCTCACTACAAAAGTGATGCGATATTAATGTAGTAAAGTAAAATATTCTCAATACACTAACATACAAAGAGCATTTACAACAAGAAATCAGACTTGTGGGACAATAACAAAACAAGTTCAGTTAACCTACAGCCAGGGATACGTAACCACGGATCTCTTGATTTCCGTGCGATTGCGGTTACACCACGGGGTGCCATTTCACCCCAACTCAGCTTCGATAGTCATTTCGAAGGATTTTCTCCAATCTCGTGGACAATTGAAGATATCGAAGAAGAGAATTTTTGATTTTATTTTTCTGCCGCCGGTGCAAGCGCAACGCATCAACGGAGTTTATCTGGTTCTGGATACCAAGGGGGGCCTTATGATTTGGATTGTCTGGACCAGATACCCACAATAAAGGTCGTGTCGAAATCTAATCTGTGTAGAATGGCCACTGGTGTCCCGCAGTTGGTGCGGCTTATCGCGCTCAACGTGCGCCAACCTCGCGCTATAGGGTCTCTACAAAAAGAATGAGCTTATGACGAATGCATATAAGAAGGAAGCTAATGGTATTCGGAGGATACCATATCGCATAACATCTATGACACCCGCAACGCTGGATTCGAGTACAAGAGAAGGAAAGTGGCGACTTCTAAGCCTTGAAATTATGCGCGTGTGGTGAGCCATGGAAGCAAGCTAGTTCAGAAATACAACTTGCGTTCCCCGAACGCTCTCCTGATGTCTCAAGGGATTAGGAAGGAAAGTGCTTGTCGAACATTGGGCTTCCATCGCGGTTTGCTTTGCTCTTGTTGTTATTCTCAGTCACTCAAGCATTCTCATGTTCATTATCGACCTTGCTGCTTACTACCAACAATTTGGATCTGAGCCTCGTTGCTCTGAAATAGATCTTGACTTGCCTGCTGATAACGACTCACTTGTTTTTGGAGTGATGCTGGGCAATGAACGCTCACAAAAAAAATGTCAGGGCGTTAAAAGGACAGAATCCGCAAGACCATTTCGGACGACAAAGTGCGAATAGTCGAAGAAAGGGAACTCACTCAAGGGATACAAGGTTGACCGGGGACTCCCAAAGTCGCTGCCCCGACACGCAGTTAGCGTCGATAGGATGTGGCCCCGCCAGAACCCGCCATGGTTCCCCGCAGAGCTATTATGTACTTCCGGCTTGAATACGCCACCGAGCTGCCCCCTAGCATGTCCTAAGAGCCTCATAGCCGATTAGCAAAGAGAGAGGGTGTAGCAGGCTGCGAGGAGCGAGCACCCTCGTGAGACGTCCACATCAATTTAGCGGAACCAACGGGGCAAGAAAGAGGATCCCATTGGCCAAGGAGATATCAAGGCCGTTTTTCTTGTTTTTTCTTCTTATCGTGCAATTACTGACGGATCTCCATAAATCCGGCAGTACGCAAAACTCAAAGTAGAGTCGGGAGAGAAATAGAGGGGGGGCGCCTTGCGCCTCGTTCAGGTCTGTAGCATAGACCATCTATAGCGATAAGATAATCACAGATATGGCAATCCCGTGAACGGAAATCATGCTCGAGAAGAGAGCTAGGGTCTTGCAAAGTAAGCTGCTGAAGTTGCAGATTTTTTTCCTTTTATCAGGCTCGTTGTCTGGCTCCTCTCGGCTATTGCACTCTCTCGCCTCATACTCTCCTCTCAGCGCTTAGTCTCTCATTGCCACAGCACAGCCGATGCGAAGGTGAGTGAGCCGTGGGGTTTTGAAGAATCTTTTCGATTCTGCTTCAGTGCGAGCCCACTTCGCACCAGACCTTCGTGTGCGAGTATCCGCATTCCGATCCTGGGAGCATGCCTTCATCCAATGGGCGACCTCTGCACCGTAAAAATCTGCCTTGAAAACACCGGAGTTTACGACCAAGATCCTCATTAGAAATCAAGTAAGCAGGTGGTCCCGTGCTAGGGTGAAGGCAAAACATGAAAAACGCCTAGAGGCGGGAAAATGGGACTCTTTTCACCATTGATTTGCGCGTCAAGTGTGTATCATCGGTGGTTGCCTCATCAACGCTAACGCTCTATCTGCTACAGCGGCTAGAGTCAGACGGAGAGTACTCGGCCAGTCGGGTGAGAGTGCAGCGGCGTGAGCGGCACGGGTGTTGCCCCGCTAGGCCACAGGCGACATACCCTTGCCTGCGAACGCCCACGTCCCGCTGCTATAGGCGGTTCGCCTGTCTGTCTGCTAGGTAAGTTTCCTCTTCTTCGACCTTCGACCTTATAGTGGAATGACTTCGTTATACAACTTGGTGTGGCGGTTTGTCTGTGTGTATATCATTCTGTTGTCCGTTCGCAAAATCCTTCTATTTTATAAAGCGCTAACTTTGTGTGTCGGTTTGTATGTATGTGTGTATGTATGTATGTATGTATGTGTGTCCGTCCGCAAAATGAAGTGAGTGATAAGGAAGCTCATGGATAAACAAACCGCTAACAAATCGGGTAGCTACAGGATTTGAGCTATCAATGTTTTGCAATGGCATGATTGTGATAACACTCCAACGGCTATATAAACACCTACTTAGCACACTTCCGGTCATTCCACAAGGTGCTGCAGTGGCAGCTGGAGAGCAATGGAGGGAGAGGAAAGGGTAAGGAGAGGAGGAGAAACGCGAAGCTTTTGCGGGAAGGTTCCAGCGTTTGCCGAAAGACCAATCTGGTCCTCCTTCGAAGAACAAAGACTGTCTGCTGTTTTGCTGATACGGTATCGAGAGACCTTCTGCGCAATTCGGTTAGAAATAAGACCTATGGCAGATGGATTAGAAGCGGCGTGAGACAGTGCAGAAGTGCCGGTGGTTCCAAGCTAGCGACAGCAGAAATGTTCACAGGGCGAGGCCGTTTATTGTACATGGACAGCCGGCATAATTCGCCGAGTATGGTGGCAGCTCAGAACGAAGGTTTCTCGGCACTCATTGTGAGGCAGCTTCGTCCACTAGCCATAAGCCAAGTCCAAACCAGTCTTTATTATTCCAATCACAGAGGCCGCAGGGCGCTGGCGCTCATGTCGTTAGGGGGGAGGTTGTGTGGGACATTAAAGTCTACTTGCAGTACTTGGGAATGAGTTTTAGGGAGAGAAAGGGATTCTGGTGAAGAATGCAAGCAATTTTTGTTCTTCTTCAGGTTTATCTTTTCTCCTACGGCCGGTCCAATGTCACATAGCATTGCGTTTTTGAATACCCTGTCTTGAATGTGTCCCCACCCCTCCGAGGCCACGCGAGCCGGCCGCAGCACTTCGTTTGGAGCTAAAAACGCTCAATTTTTACCTTTGGTTTAATAAACCCTGACTCGACATATCCCGATTTAAAATTCGGTGATTTACAGGACAAGTAATTCTGATTACTGGTGAAGCTTATAAGCATCGAATCTTGAAATTGTCACCGTCGACGGCTTCCTGAAAGCAAGTAAGCATCATCGTTAGATCAGCATCTATCCTTCTATTTTATAAAGCGCTAACTTTGTGTGTCGGTTTGTGTATGTGTGTGTGTGTGTGTGTGTGTGTGTATGTATGTGTGTCCGTCCGCAAAATGAAGTGAGTGAGAAGGAAGCTCATGGGATAAACAAACCGCTAACAAATCGGGTAGCTTACAGGATTTGAGATATCAATGTTTTGTAGCAGGATAGTTGTGATAACACTCTTAGGGCTATATAAACACCTGCTTAGCACACTTCCGTTCATTCCACATGGTGCTGCAGTGGCAGCTGGAGGGCAGTGGAGAGAGGAAGGGAGGATGAGGAAGGGAAGCGAAAATCTACCGTCATATCATGATTGTGTCCCTTCTACTGTATGAAACACCATTGTGTTGCATACGCGTCACTTCCAGGAGGTGTTGGTGTCACAGGAGGAAGGGACCATAGCGGAGGATAGAAAGCTTGCGCAGGAAAGGAAGGTCCCGGCGGTTGACGGGGGACTAATCTGGTAAATTATATAAGTAGGCATTGCTCTCTGGCTAGCTTTAGGAAGAGGACAGGAAATCCAGGAAAAATGAAAATTGCTTATGCTCCCTTGAGCCTCTCTCCGTCCGAGAACAAGTCCTGTTTTGAACGAAAAGGTTATCTTCAAGTAGATGCAGGTGCTCTGTCGCGGTATATCCCGTCATGGTTGCGATAGCGCCGATCACTGCATTGACTTGACTAACGCTTTTGTGCGAACTTACACCTGGACCCAGTTTCCATTTTATAGGCCATGGAGGATATGGTGGTGACGTTGAACTGCGACATAGTGACTCCAACACAATAGTACACACGGCTCATGCAAGTATGAATAAAATGACTTTGCACACTCAGTGTTTGCCTTTTATACGTGGTACTTATCCCATCAACAAACCACTATCACAGAAAAACACTAGGCGCTATCGCAAGACAGGGGCATCCTCTAGAAATAAGCCTAGAAATTGGCAGCAACTTCGGAAAAATTGGAAATTGCTCACGCATCCTGGAGTTTCCCCACCCATCTTTGAGGCTGGGGCCGGCCCCTTCTGAACAAAAAGGAGATATTCACGCATTGTCAAGTGCATTACCACCATAGTCCCCCGTATACTGCGATAGCGCCAAATACTTAACACACGCATCAGAGCATCC